AGACACTTAGACTAACTTTTCCTTCTAGCTTTCTGTTTCTTAATTCCTGACAAGGTCTTTCAGAGTTACATTCCAATCATGTTCATTCAGCAAGGTCCCTAACTGCAAACATAAAATAAAAGCCAAATTCACCCTTCACTCCAACAACCATGAACTTTTGTACCACCGAAGGAATACCATTAGGCGCCAGACTTCTGTCTTGGCAAGATAGATCTCTTGGTCCCCAGCAAAGTGTACTTTTTACGGATTTTCCAGTTCGTATGTAATTTCCACCTTATATCCTGATCCTCGTTGCTATTAAATTATTGCCAGTGTTCAAGGAAATAGATAAGACCTCTGATTCCTTCTGCCACCCCCAGCCATTGTGAACATGTGGTTACTGTCACCCAAAGTTCCTTCTATTGCCAGTGTCAATCCCCATTGCACACTTAGAGCTGAGTCAGCAATTGTTCAGCAAAGATGACAATGTCGGAGGAAAGAGGGGACACTCTGAGGGGATGTCCTAATTGTATAGCAACTCTTACACAGCTGGCAATCAATGAGAAACAAAACAGGGCAAAGACAGACCCAACAGATGGAAAACAGCACTCAGTGAAAACATTTTTAAGCCACAGGTTGCACCATTTTTTCCCCTCTCCTCAATTTCTGTATATCATTTGTTCAATTTATTTGTGTACTGCCATGTTCCAGTTCCAAAATTATTTTCATTCCCTAACTTATTTGTTCATTTTCTCCCTATTGTTTGCTTCCAAATGTGCAGTCTGTGCAAGTAAAAAGAAGTAGAGACAAAGGACTTGGAAACCAAGAAGTTAAATAAATGAACTTCTGGGTGACAGGGCAAGTGGTCCCCCACGGAGCAGAATTCAGAAAAGTCATCCATACAAGTGCTGGAGCACAAAGCAGCCGGATTCTTACCCCACTGATATCATTCTCCCACGTTAGCCAAAGAATTAGGCAACCACATGTTTGAGGACCAAGCTGACCCATCCATAAAAATACTCAGAAGCAAAAAAGAAAGTGCTTTACTGATTTGTTTGTGGTAGGTTATTTCATTCCATCCTTACTTTCCGCAGTTTTCACATTTCCTTGTATAACACACCAAGAAGTTATGCAGATTTTATCCCGTGCACCGAGTCTTTGATGGGGTGGATTGATCCTGTCTTTCTGGGACCCTTCCAGATTGCGCAGGGTTTCCTCGCTCTGTTGCCTCATCCAAGCCTGTTTCTGTCTGTGACACTGTGGCCGAGTCACTCTCCATGAAGCACAGAAGCAGTAGAGGGGTGAGCCAGAGGAAGCCCAGCTGAAAGCTACAGTACAGTCTGCAGAGTGCTTCCTCCGGTGGAGCTGTGTAAATCAACTAGTACAAAAATGTGAGCTACTTTTAAGGAAGACTCATGAGGAAATGGAAAGTGTTGTCTAACGCCAGAAAAATCTAATTTGGAAATAGCAAAATATTTTCATCTTATTTCTAATTCAAAGCAACAGTTAACAGAAGTTAACATTGCTTAAGGACTTTAGCATATGAAAATGATATATACAAATCCGTAACAAAGCATTACGCCTAAAACAGAAACGAACACTTCGTTGTCATGGGCAGACTATTACAGAACGAAGAAGTAGCACAGGTTTACTAGCCTATTATGTATCTGGCCTCACTGCCCTTCAAACAGGTTCACACTAGGCCCCTTGACTGTCCTTTTCATCTCATAAGACGTTTACTGTACATTTTATGCCACATACAGTTTGAAAAAAAAAATGTGAAAGAATTCACTCATTATTTCTGGATTTATCACTCAACTTTACCTGTGGCAGAGAGCTATTGGTGGGTGGCTGTAACCAGAGCCTTCAGATTCTCAGCAAGCTTAGTGGTACATTGCGGTGCTATTTGTGAACATCCCTCCAAACATAAGTGTTTTTCAATGAGAATATGATGGAGCTCACGGTACTGAATAAAGCAACCGATTTATGAATTTTCAACTATATAGTTTTACATTTAGGGGTCATGATCCTTTAAGAAAATTTACCTAATACAATAGCTATCGGCCCCATGTAACTCTTTTAAGTTCTCATTTTAGTTGAAGTTAAGCAACATTTAGAAATCATTTCTACGATTACTTTGGTCACACTTGAAGTGAGCTATAAGCATGTTTAGCCAGTGCCTTATGACCTGGACAACGCAGATACAAAGATGGCTTTATATGATTTTAAAAGTGTCCTTTCAGGCAATACTAGTATGTTCAAACCCTGGGATAAAATCAAAATAAGCCAAAAATGATAGTCCTATGGAGGAAGTCAAGCCTTGCGATTTATTCCTTCTTCCTGCTCTGATGTTTTAAATTTTCTGTCATGACCATATATTCGTTTTATAACAGAAAAGTCATTAAGCTTTATTACTTTTCTAATGTAGAACAGAAGTGTAATTTGGTGAAACTCAATTCACTTTTAACAAGCTGAATTCTTTTGTTGCTGTTATTAACATTAAGTCAGATCAGAACTGCAGAAACAGGTTTTGGGGAATGGGCTGTCCCTGAATTGGGACTTTTTCTTGGAAGAATCTGCAAACAGTCCTGTAGAAATACAAAGTGAAGGAAAGCTAACTGCTCGGTCGCCGTCTCCTCCCGTCACGATGGCAAGCGAGCGGGCCACTCGGTCCTGCCAGGTTTGTTCCCAGAGTGAGCGTTGTGCTCGCCGTGCCTTACTGAGTGGTTGATGCTCCAGGAGTGGAAGGATTACAGGTGTTTGCAGCAGTGGTCTGCATTTTGTCCTGTCTTGTCTGTTTTCAGTTCATGTGTGTCTAGTTCCAGCAAAATCCAACAGAGATATTGAATGGACCCCAAGGCAGGTGCAGTGTTGTCCACGAGGCGGAGGGAAATGCAAGGGAGCCTGTGTTTATTCAGTGAGCTGGTACCTGTGTGCCCTGGACAGTGTGCCATAAGATTCACGAGTGGAATCCATCCTTTAAAATAGTCACTTTGTGGCTAATTTGTTGTTGTTTTGTTTTGTTTGTCGTTCCCATCTCTTTTCCTCCTTCTCAGGTAAATAAATGAATTCTTTTTCCTAAAGTTAGAATCCAGCTTTGTAAGTGGGAAATGTTAGGAAAGAGAAGACAGATCTTTTATATATATGTATGTTGTGTAAACATAAAGTTGGATCGTTTATGCATAAAATAAGTAGGAGGCTGTTAGTGGCTTACTCGGCTAAACTAAGACGCTAGAAAGTGTCAAACAAAGTGTTCTGACTTCTCTAAACCGTGGAGCTCTGGGAGTCCGCAGTCACGTTTCTCCTCCCTTGCACCGTGTCCCCACACTTTGCTTCGTCTCCCCGCCTCCCTCCGCACTCTCTTTGTCTTCCTTGTTTCGCATCGACTTTCCTCTCACAACACACTGGCTTGTACCAGTTCTTCTGACAGGCTTAACCTGTAACCTCCTCTAATCACCTAGGAACCTTGGACCTGAGAGCAACAGGCAAACGTGTTCTATGTCTAGCAGAAAGCGTCGGTGCACGTGCAGAACCCATAGAACTAAACCCGTTCGGAGCTCTCGGCGGGCCTGGAAAGGATGCTGCATTGGCCATCAAACAACCGCTTGCAGATTTGCAAGGCCTAAGAAAATTACTGAGGAAATATGATCTGTCCAGCCGAGTTTGGTGTTCTTATCAATTTTGTTCCTGTTGACTGATTTGAGTAACAAAAATAGGGTGGCAGGAAGCTGTGTTTAACTGTTTGCCATTGCGGATGCTCCACGTGCATCACGCATCGGCGTGGTCCTCGTTTGCTCGGGGACGTGCAGGGGTCGGGCCCCCTTGGCACTTTTGAAGACAGCTCTGCTTTAACAAGTAGAAAACCTCCGGAAGAAAGCTTCTGTCTGTGGGCAAAGTATGCAGAAACCTACGTGATGTTTTGGTTTCTTGTAAATCTAAAGTGTCTGGATTCCAAATCATGGCTAGATCAACTCTGTGTGATTTCAGGGCTTGCAGAGATTTCCCCAGCTTTAAACCTTGAGCAGAGATTCGAGGTAAACAGCTGGCCTGGCCTGGAGACTTTGGCCACTGAAAGGCGCCATGTGCCTTCCTCCTGACTCAGTGATTTATATGAAGTTATAAAAGCTGCGAGGGACGAGGAGACTGAGGCACGGAGAAGCTCTTCCACTCAGGCAGGGTCACGCAGAATGTTTAAGATAGCAGAGGCGTTTCAAACCAAGGTCCTTGACCGCCAGCCCTGGCCACAGCAGCCCATCAGCCTACACTATGCCCTTTTCACCCAGCTAAGTCCAAGCGCATGCCTGCCTTTGCCCCCTTCTCTCCCTGACACCTACAACGGCGGTCCCCAACCCCCGTAAGCAGAACTTTTTAGGGAACCGCACTGGCATCCTTACAGTGTCGACATCAGATTAGACACACATACGGTGTGAGCCTGCAGCTGAAGTGAAGTCAGACACAGCAAGCATCATCAGGGGAGGGAAGGAGCATGCAGAAGATAGAGGGGCACACTGCGTTTCATGCAGCTTAGAACTTTTCTGCCTTTGAGTTGTTGCGTTTGTTTCCCCAGCAGGCCTAGGTACCAGGAAGAAACACTTGCGAGAGTGTTGTGTTCCAACTTCTTAGAAGAGACTCGAATTTTCCCAATTCAATGTTTAATAAGCTACAAATGATCATTTTGATTCAAATTTTACATTGAGATAGGTCATTGCCTCAATTACTGCTGTTATAAGCTAACATATGGTGATCTTTTATTAATAACAATAACCTTTAAGGTTCTTAAGTACGTTATATCTGAGGGAAAAAAAACAGTACTGATACTTGTAGCAGTTAATAGTGTGAGTAACAGGTGTGTATCTGGAACGTGTGTTCGGTATTCGAGTGAACAAAGGCCAGTGCTGTTCTCCGCATCTGGTCAGTATGGATACACACAGAAGATGGGTTGGTTGGTTTTTTTTTTTTTTAATACGCTTAAAAATCACAGATTGCAGAATCACAGAACTCACTGCTTGTTTTGTCTCCAGAACCGAATGGAGGAAAGCAAAGCACTCTTCAGGACAATCATCACATACCCCTGGTTCCAGAACTCCTCGGTGATTCTGTTCTTAAACAAGAAAGATCTTCTAGAGGAGAAGATCATGTATTCCCACCTCGTCGACTACTTCCCAGAGTACGATGGTGAGTCAGCTCTCCGGGTAGCCCTCGCACGCACTACAGTACCCTGCAGGGCACCGGGGCCACCCTGCCCCTGTGAAGGTGTGCAGATTATGATGGGGGAAGCACTTGCTAACTGTCTTATCTTGTCATAACACAGAATAGTCACTTCGTGATTATGCTAGAAGTTAGAAATGAAACAGCTTCCTGTCTATACTGAAGGAACTGGTAAGAGAGACGGTTGGTGGTTTGTGTGCTGGCCATTATGGCTGCCCGCGCCTTCCCCAATAAATATGATAGCAGGTTGCCTCTGGCTCTCCGGGCAGGGAACACAGGTTTGGGTTCGAGGACCTGTCTCCGAAGTCATTCAGGTCCAAGCCTTGCTCTGACACTTTCTGCTTATAGAACTGTAATCAAATCATTTGGGTTATTTTTTCCCCTGCCAGGTCCTAGGGTCAAACTCGCAGGATCTTTTCAAAGACTGGCATAGATGGCATAGGAGTGGCATTTAGCATGATCAGCACTGGGGGCTCTGACCCGGTGTTGTCCCACCGTTCTCAATGCTGTGCTTAGCACTCTTGTTCATGCCACACTTGCACTCTGTAGCACCCCCTTCAGTACTTGGCTGGCTTTGTATTATTAGTTCTGTTCTTAGAAACGGAGCGTGTCCTCTGCAGCAGGCTGAGACTCTGAACAGCTAGACGCCCAGTCGATTCTGAGAAGCGTTTGTTGACTGATTGGTAGGAACAGACCCCACCGCACCCAGCCAGTGTCCACCAAGCCGCAGAGCCGCAGCTGCTGGCCAGGAAGAGCTCACGGGGCAGCGTGGGCAGCTTGCCCTCTCACTGCACGCAGAGCTGAGACTGGCTTAGAGCATCCAGTGCGGCACGCCACCTGCTTTGGTGGAGTTCTCTGGAGATGGAGACACATTCCTTTGCACAGCAAAACACCCGAGTGGATTGATATCAGACATTGAGTGGTCCGGAAGAACGGGAACATTTATTCTCTGGCCCTTTACCGAGAGCATCTGTCAGCTCCTCCTGGTGACTACAGTTGACAGTGTAAACATGGCCAGAAGTGGCCAAGTTCCGCTTCTGCCACCGGCTGGCCACATTGCCCCAGGCAGGCTTACTATGTAACTGCTCCATTTCTTCCTTGTGAAGAGGAAGAAGAATCAAGTAGATCACGTAGCACAGTACCTAACTTGGCGAAGGGCACAAAGCCAGGAGCCCCAGTTACAGAGGGGTACGCAGCAGCGAGAGAACAGTTGACAAATGACGTCATCACCCTGCGATACCCAAGATGGAGAGCGGCTCCGCGTTTGGCCCATCTTAAAGGTCCCTGGGAAAGGTGGTTACTTTAAAAACTAGGAGTAGATTTGGCTCTGTCGCTTGCTATGAAGACGCTAGCCCGTCAGGAATGAAGGTTTAGTCATCTTTCATCCCACACGCGCTTGCAGCCCTGCTGGCTAACAGAATGGGAGCATTCTTTGTTTAAGGACCCAAAGTTCTCTTTTCTGATATACTCATATATGTGAGACCAAGAGAGCTGGTGTGTTGAGATACCAATGTTAGAATGTTAGGTGGGAAAGACCGTGCCTTTTGAGTTGTTTACAATAGGTTTCTATCCTTTGTCCAAGTATATGTTACTTCAGGCCTTGCTGTTATTTTACAAATGACTTCCTTAGCCCGCACAGGGTTTTTTTTTTTTTTTTTTTTTTTTTTTAAAGCTTTGATACTTTTTTTTTTTTTTAAAGATTTATTTTTATTATTTTTTATTGGAAAGGCAGATATACAGAGAGGAGAGACAGAGAGGAAGATCTTCCGTCCGATGATTCACTCCCCAAGTGAGCGCAACGGGCCGATACTATGCCGATCCGAAGCCAGGAGCCTCTTCCGGGTCTCCCACGCGGGTGCAGGGTCCCAAAGCCTTGGGCCGTCCTCGACTGCTTTCCCAGGCCACAGGCAGGGAGCTGGAAGGGAAGCGGGGCTGCCAGGATTAGAACCGGCGCCCATATGGGATCCCGGGCGTGCAAGGCGAGGACTTAACCACTTGCGCCACCGCCCCGGGCCCAGGGTTTTTTTTTTCCTTCTCTTTTGCTGCTGTTGATCTGCCACCGGCCCTGTCGTAAGTCACGAATGCCTGAGACTGCGCCGTCCTGAGGACGCTGGCTTTGCTGGCAGCTGACTTCCTCCCAGCAGCAGGCCAGTTCTGCAACATCAACATGAGATCTGCCTGCGGAAATCAGGCGGCTGGCTCAGACCGGAGCCAGCCCCATCTCACAGAGACCTAAATACACTTGCTTGGGCCAGACTCATGGGATTCTTTTGCATTTTTCCCCAGAATTTGGTGAGAAGCAGCAAAACTAGGAAGTGAGCACACTATGCAGGAGACACACACACACACACACACACACACACACACACACACACACGCACGGCAGGTACAGCACAGGCTATGCGTGTACCCAGAGCCCTCTAAGACACTAGCTGCTCCGTCACAGCAGACTGCTCCCAGTGCTTGGTTTGTCTACAATAAAGAGGTTTGTTTTTGTTTTTGTTTTTTTGTCTCATTTGAGTGTTTGAAAGAATGTCTTTTTCTCTCTGCAGCATCTTCCCAACCTGGACATTGTCTCCTTTGTCCAATAATTCCCCCCGGGTTTCCCATCACTAGGAATTTTTTTTTTCTTCCAGTGTGTGCCCGTTGTGAATATTTTGAAACCTGAAATTGCTTTTTGCTGCTAACCTCCCGCAGTATGCTCTTAATGCCCACCAAAGACAGCCACGGCCGGGGAGGGGGACGCCTCAGTTTCCAGGATTCCTAAAACCAGTGAAGCTGTCGTCTGTTAAGAATCAGAGCCCTTGAGATGAGCTAATGCTGACCAAAGCTGAGGCGCATTGCACAGCGTTTTCTCTAGAAGTATGTTTTGGGGTTATGAATTTCATCCTTGCACAATTCTGCATTTACCAAGGTCTTCATCAAAAGGAATGCCGTTTCGGTATTTCTCTCCAGGAAGGGCAGTTACCATTTCCACATGCGCTTAGATTGCAAAGCTGTCCAGAGACTGTGGAATTCTGTTCCTGCCTTGAAAACCACAATGGTTTCCTTTTAGCTTATGTCTGTTCAAATGGCATAATTTATACTTTAAAACATAACACTTCCGAGTGAACTTGAATCTTTAGAGTTAATAAAAAAGACAAGACAGGCGGTACCAGTTATTTCCCAGATAAGGGTATATGTAACATAGGTCATTCATAAGCAGAAAATAATGGATTTTTTTTTTTACAAAAATGACAGGCTACTGTAGCTCAAACAAAATGATTTATCTCTGCTTTAAATTAGTTTTTGGTGTTATTCTACAATTAATTAACAATAATATGTTGAAAAGGACGTTAAATAATTACAGAAGTATGTATTGCATATGTATAAATATGTCTAATTGCATCTAAATACATAAAATGTATATAATCATTGATCAAAATTTCAATTCTAGATACCTAAGTCAAAAATTCAAACGTTTCTTTTGTCAGTTGTACAAAGTGAGAAGAAAATTTGTTTTCATAGCTCTTTCTTCCCAATTTCTGGCACAGTTGACTATAATCTCAAAAGAGAAATCCCCAAGTTGCGGTGAGATTGATTTGCAAGTTTTCACGTTAGCGCCCTAACTTCAGGATGCATTTTGGGAGAAATGATTCTCAGAACCTCTGTGGGTGCTCAGACACCTGTTTACCTCAAGGACTGTAACCAAGGTGTCAGTATGGGGAGGGTCTGTCCCACAGGGACGGTGGTAGAAGACAAAGAGGCTATATCGTGACTTCCTTCTGACTGGGCATAGAAATAGCTGGAAGCAATGGGAGGAGATGCCAATTGCTGGTAGCGCGAAGATGCTCCTAGGACAGTGTTGAGCTGTGATTGGAGGTGTCGTGGTGTCATCAGCGCTGGATTTTAAGTTTTAAGTTCATGCATTTATGAGAACCTATTGAAATAAACTTTTTGAGTACCATTATTGGAATAAATCTATCCTTTAGATAAATCTGTCATATACACACACCAAACCATCCATCCATCCAAAGTGTACAGGTCAACAGTTAGAGGATGTTACATTAATGATTTCTAAAATTATAAATATATATAAAATTTTTCCTTTTAATCATTTTTTATTTGAAATGCTATAAAACTAGTATATTTACAGCATTGTACAGCCATAACCAATATTTCCAAAATGTTTTTACCATCTCGGTTGAGTAACAATATCTAGTTACTCTCTCTCCCAGCTCCTAGGAACCTCTCTATTTTTTCCTGTTTGGACCTGTATAGTCTATATTAGTGGGTTTATACAGTATTTCTTCTTCTTTTTAAATATATATCTGTTTGAAACGCAGAGTGACAAGGAAAGACAAAGAGCTCTTCTATGCACTGGTTCACTCGCAGGTGGCCACCACACATTGTGCTGGGCCAATTTGAAGCCAAGAGCCAGGAACGCTGTGCAGGTTTCTGCTATGGGCAAGAGGAACCCAGACACTTGTGTCATCGCCTGCTGCTCTCCCTGGGACATTAGCAGCAAGCTGGATTGGAAGTTGGACAGCCAGGACTTGAACTGTCAGTCTGATAGAGGATTCTGTAAGCAGCCACATAGACCACTGCTCCACAAAGCTAGCCCCCAATATTCGTTCTTATATGTCTGGTTTATTTTCAAGTTGTGGATATAGCACCTTCGGCTCTTCATTGCTTGGCTGGTGAACACTTGTTATTGGCCCCTTTCTGCTGTCTGTCGTGGATAAGGCTGCCGTGCACATGCCCAGGACTGCGGGGGCTGGGCCCTATGATGTTCCTGTGGTTAGCTTGTGGGGAAGGCAGCAAGTCCTTGTCTGTGGGGCTGTGCTAGAGCACCATTGTATTCTACCCACAGCCTTGCAAGTTCAGATTGCTACTCATCCTCACCAGCATTTGCTATTTTCCTATTATTATTGAAATTATTATGATTATAACCACTTGAATATGCAAATAGAGGCATCTCCCAGTTTCTATTTAGTTACTTCCCCAAGTGGTTTACAGCATGGAGTGTCTTCTACAGTTACTGGTCGTCAGTGTGTCTTGGGAGAAGTCTCGCCTCAACTTTTTTTTTTTAAGATCTATGTAGATTTACAGAGAGAGAGATGCAGAGAGAAAAAGATCTTCTGTCCGCTGATTCGCTCCCCAAGTGGCTGCAATGTTTGGAGCTGAGCCGGTCTAAAGCCAGGAGCCAGGAGGTTCCTGTGGGTCCCAAGGCATTGAGTCATCCTCTACTGTTTTCCCAGGCCACAGCAGGGAGCTGGATGGGATGGAGAGCAGTTGGGACACGGATGGGTGCCCATATGAGATCCTGGTGTATGCAAGACATGGGTTTAGCCAGACCTTCTCCTCACTTCTTATCCCCATTTTTTGTAATCCAGCTGTAAGAGATCTTCACATTGTGTGGATGCTAAACTTCTACCTGGGGTATGAATTGCAGGTTACTGTTTTTGCCCACTATCTACAGTGTCTCTTCACTTTCTTGATAATGTTCTCTGATGCACAACGTTTTTTTGCTTGGATGAAAGACACTTTATTTTTTCGTTCATTACCCATGCTGGGGTGTCGTATCTAAGAATCTGTTGGGTTTCTAATGTACCCAGATAAATATATCATGGCCCTCTTTCAAGTGATCGCAGCCCAGGTTTGACGTCCATGATGCCCTGAACAAATGCAAAGCAATGTAAATCAATTTGCATATCCCCCACATAATGAGTTGATTGCTACAGATTGCTGAGAGCACCAGAAAGCTGGAGAAGACTTTAGCAGAGTGTCGTTGATGGGCTGACCTCAAGGGACAAGTGTCCAGTCCTGAGTGAGACTTCAGTCTGGAGAGTGTGTGAAGTGACGGCAGAGTGGGGCGAGCACCTGAGGCAGCCATCCACGTGTGCACGCATGCTCAGTGTGCTGCCGAGAGTTGCAGAAGCGCATCATCACCGCGCTGGCTGAAGAAGAGCAGCAGTGCCGCATGCCACCCTGGCAATGCGAGGGGAGGCCAGGCCGCGTTGACTTGGCGGCCTGGTCTTCGAGTCGTGCCTGTTGTGGACGGACAGGCAGAGGCAGTGACGAGGAGGAGGAATAGGTGCAGTGGCGGCCTCAGGGGAAGTGATTGTCACCAGTGAGATCTGCAAGCTCAGATACTGTCTCCATAGGCAGCAGCCCAGTATGTCATGACGGGGTGGATGGTGACCGCATGCTTTAACAGGCCAGCTGACAAACCATCCCTCCTCTCCCTCTCCCTTGGCTAACAGGACCACAGAGAGACGCCCAGGCAGCCAGAGAATTCATCCTGAAGATGTTCGTGGATCTGAACCCAGACAGTGACAAAATCATCTACTCCCACTTCACGTGCGCCACAGACACCGAGAACATCCGTTTCGTCTTCGCAGCCGTGAAGGACACCATCCTGCAGTTGAACCTGAAAGAGTACAACCTGGTCTGACCGTGCTTCCCAGCAGCCCGCCCTGCCCTTCCCGGGGGGGGGGGGGTTACAGAAGATACGCAAGAGGGACTGTGTTTCCGTGCAGTTTGCATAATACTAATTTATTGCCGCCCTGGACTCTGTGTGAGCGTGTCCACAGAGTTTGTAGGAAATATTATGATTTTATTTAAACTATTCAGAGGATGCTGAAGTACAGGCCCAGCACATTTCCTCTCTCTCTCTCTCTCTCTCTCTCTCTTTTTTTTTTTTTTTGGCAAAACCTTGTGACTCAATGTATTTTAACTTCTCAGTCATGCACTCACAAAGAATTGTTTCTCTCTTTCTCTGTTGAACACAACAACAAAGCTGATTCCCGTGTTTCTTGCCCCGTACCGCCTTCCTGATCCCCATCCCCCCCTCCCAGGCTCCAACTGCCTTTATCCTAGTTCCATTCTTAGTAGTCAGGTTCTCTCAAATGATAAAGGCAGGAAATGTCATTTGATTTAAGGCATCACACATCAGCTTCATTTACCGGTGTAGTTCGTGCCGAAGGGTTACATGTGTTCATACGGTGGGTACCAATGGACTGTTTTGGATTCACATGGAGTGTTCCTTTATATATATATATATATAATATATATATATATTGTCTGACCTTGGAGTGGGATGAAGGGTAACTACCTAACGGTTAAGTGTCATTTCTTTGAGGTTTTTACCTTCAACCATTGTCTGATTGCTCAAAGAAATTGCCAGAGTCAGTGAGGCCAGAACAGATACCCAGAAGGAGTTCTTTCTTTTTTGAAATACCACGTGCCATTGCCCAGCCTCCCTCTTTTCGCTGCTTCATCTTTGATTTTTCTCACCTTCTCTTTGAATTGCAGATGCCAAAAAAATATGCCAACAGACACTACATTTACCCCAACAGCTGCTACGCAGATTTGTAATGCTTTCATGTAGGTGGTTCTTCTCCCCACCCCCCTTTTTTGGGGGTGCAGAGGGAGGTGGTAGTGGGGAGGGGACGGTGTCAAGCAACCCTCCTTTGTCTTTTCTTCCCGTAACTGTTTGGGCCACGTTTTCAAACGTGATTTTTACTATGGCTATGTCTTGCCAAAGCTGGCATTTTTGTGAATAACGAAAAAGAACTTAAACAAACAAACAAACAAAAAATCAGTATCTTAAAACATAAGAGAATAAGACTGTGAAGCCTAAAATGGCTGGCCGAGAGTGAAGCGATTGCCAAACAGTTGGTAACTGTAAATGTGGTTCTCGCAGTCCAAACCTTTGCTTTGTCTGCTGTCCATGTCTCGTGTTCAGTGTCCAGATGAGCAATGAGAAGTGTCATGTGTGGCCTATCATGCAAGCTTCTTGTTTGAAGTCCAGTTTTGCTCGCTCTCTCTGTTCTTTCATTTTGCATACATCTGCCAAGAACATCAGCTGACAGTGTTCATGCTGGCACCTTTCATTTGCAGAATCGGAAGCGACTGTGGGTTTAAGCACCTCCAGGACCTTCATGTATTAGTGACTGGTTAAGCTGGACTGCAGGCAGATTGGTGGACTGAACTCCAAAGTAACCTCTCACTATTCCGTAGAATGTGTGTTTGTGTAACTGAACCTCCTAGGAGAGGTGTCTGAAATTCTGTATGTGCAATTCTTCAGCAAATGCAAAAAGTACAGCACATGTATCAATGAGCTGCTGTCACACAGCTGAAGTTGGAGACGTGGTTTAAGAAATGAAATCATGGTTGTTTCAAAGCCACTGGGAGTTGGAATACGCCGGGATGCTGGCCTCGATACTAGTTGGCATTAATCCAGACTTCCATCACATTGGTTGTTTGGGAACAAGGCAAAGGGAGATAATGGACAGCTTATTTCAATAAGTATCAAAATTGTAATGAGATGTGCTCGTTGTTGACTCTCCCAACCTCACACCCCCCAGGTTCCTTTTCTTCCTTGCTCAGAAAGCACCTGTAACTTAATTAACAGACTGCCTGTCTGTAGTGCAATCGGGACTGCTCTAATCACTGTACATCTCTTGATATCGCAGCATCCATACTGGCTTTGTAATCATTCATATTTTTTTTTGGCAGATTGAATGTGCTGTATTGATATGTATCTGTGTAATTGTATGTCTTATAGCTACTTCACATTTTGAATAATGTTATTTTATTTACTTTTTTAAAGAGAGGAGAATGTAAATTTGTCAGTTTATTTCTGACTAGGGATATATATATTTTTTCCCATTTAGAAAAGAAGAAAAAACAAACATTACTGTTGTACAGAGCGGTACTAGCATCGTGCTGTATAAAACCATTTGCACATTCCTGACTAGAGGTATACTGATGATAAGACCCAAAGGTAATTTCATAGCAAAACACATAAAATCAGTCAGAGCTTTTATACAAACATGGAAACCAACTTTGTAGAACTTTTGCCATTTGATCTAGGATTGGAATATGAGCTTTTATACGATTCATATTCTTATTTGGCAAATGCACAGTTTAGTATCACCTCTCTGATGGCCTTTATTAGAAAGGCAGTTTTAGAAGCTATTGTGATCCACTAAGGAAATGTTTTAACAGCTAGAGACCACTGCTTGCCTGAAAGGGCGATCTTAAATTTGGTGCAGCAAACAAAAATAAGTAAATAAAAAAAAAAAATTCAAAAAAAATTTAAAAAACACAAAACACAAAAAAATAAAAAAACAAAACACAACAAAAAAAAATCACCAAAAAAAAAACCACACACACAAAAAAAGGAAACAACATTTGAAGGCCTACAGTGTGTATGCAGAAAACCTCATCACAAGATCCTAAGTGTTAACAGTGAATCAAGATCTTCTATTTAATAGAGCTATTGTAGATGTAGTCGTTTAAAGCTGATCTCTGAGCTCCAAGAAGCTTGAGTGGAACAGGGAAAGATTGTTCTATTTGTATGAAATTGGGAAGGAAGTTGCTATGCAGAATTAAGGTCTGTGGCTTCACTGCTTCTGCTAGGGTGCATGACAGGATCCCTTCTCTCGAGAAAGGAAAAAAATTGATCGCCCTAGCTGTAGTGAGGCGGGAGAAACCGAGTCGCAGCCACACTAGTCCATTGAAGCTAAAGGATTTTCTTTTTGTTTCTTTGGGATTTTATCAAAGGGGATGGGGCGGGAAGGGATTCTTTTCAGTTTTGTAAAAAAAAAAACAAAAAAACAAACAAACAAACAAAAAAAACCACAAACGAAGTTTACTCACGCTTTCTCTTATGATTGCAAGCATTGCAGGCGTTGCCGCTGGCTCCTGGGGTGATGCCGTAGTCACGGAGGCCGTGGCAAGTCGTGTGGCATCTTGGGCATGTCTTGTTTGGAACCACAAAACACAGAAACCTGCCTTTGGTGTCCCGAGGCAGGCAGCCACTTCATGAGTCACCTTCCACACCGCAGTGTACCAGTTTACAGACGTCTCTCCCTTCGCGTGTGACATGGCAGTCCCCCCACACAGATTCCCCTTCTTGTAAATTGGAGGTTTCTACTATGCCTTACAGAGCTTAAATTCAGAAGTGTGTGCCTCATATCTGAAACAAAGGGAAATAGTGTGCCCGCTCAAAAGTACATAAACCCCCTAGAAGTTTTGATTGTTTCTATTTTTGTTTTTGTTTTTGTTTTAATACCTTTCCATAGAAAGAGCTCTGTTGATGTCACGATTAGACTGGAAAAAAAATCCTTAGGAACCTGCAATTGTTGTTCACTAGCAGAAGGCATCTACAAAAGTATTTGAAGAACACCTGAAACTTGTTTTGTTTGTCTATTTGTTTGTTTGTTTTGTAGATTAACTAGCAGGCCTAATATTTAAAACAAACAAAAAAAACGGTAATTCAGCTAAAGGGCAACTTTTTGTATTTCAGACTATCTTGATTGTCAAGGTGTATGAACTGTAATTTTAAAATTTATACTGCCACATGATTGTAAATTTTAGTTGTCTTAAGTCAGGAATTGGGGGAAAGCTATTTATGCTGGATTTGGGTCGAAATGACTTTATTATTTGCAAAAAATAATAATAACACTGGGAAGAAAGGGCTGTCTAATGAGAAATTGCAAAGACTTTGTTAGTTGAAAGTTACCCTCAGATCCCCTTGGTTTCTCTTTGTTTTTTAGTTTCTCAAAAGAATGAATGAAACAATAGCAGAATGTTAACCCATATTAAAATAAAGTGTACCCAAATATTGTAATGTATATTGCTGCTCTTCTTAACATTAAACAAGGGTTCAAAACCACTTAATTGGTAATTAACAACATCTCAATTGATACAAATAAAGTGTGCTTGGTATACATTTCATGTTTTTTTTTACCAAGGTAGATCTTTCTTTAGAAACACACACACACACACACACTGAATCTAATAATATAATATGTTTATCTTTTTACATAATTCCAGCATATGTGGCATTAGTAGATCTGTCCTGGTAACTGTGTCTTAGGGATTTCATTTTCGTTCCATCAAATGGCTTCGGTGTTTATGGTCAGCTAGAGGTTTTTGGAGCTAGACACCTGCTATTTAGTAGATAACTTAGTACAGTCTAAACTTGTCGTGTTTTTCTCACAGAATAACAAACCATTCCCTGCTGTCTTCCCAACTATTGCTGCCCTTCCGTGACACTCTTGCCTCCAGAATTGTGTGTTCAAAGTTTGCATAAACACTTAGCACAGAGCAGGTGCTTAAATATTTATTTCCTCATTACTTTATCATGTATCCTCCATTTTCCTAGATGATTCCAACCCAGTAGTTGTTATGAAAACACCTGTTAGGGAAAATCGAATCTTATTTGGGTAAAAAAAAAAAAATCTGACTTCTATGTAAGAGTTTGGTGAAGTATTCTCCAGTAGAATATTTTTAAGCTTAAGAACAATGGAAAGCTATTGTGTAATTTTGTCCAGGTTGCTTTGATTGAAACACATGTTTTGGTGGATTCTTTTCCTCAAAGAACTCTCCAAATGCAACTTCTTGCTGGATTCCTCACCCATCATCATGTTGGAAACTCTTACTAAACCTATGTATTTAGGGAGTTTTGTCAAAACATTTTTAACTTACAGTATTTAAAAGAATCATATTTACTGTTCTTATAATGTCATTCAAATGCATGTATTGTCTATTGTTTGGGGATGGGAACTAGTTTTGCAAAAAAAAAAAAGAAAAGAAAAAACCCACCTAATGTTGTATAATAATACCCCGATGATCTTGCTGGTTAAAAATACAGTATTTTTTGGCCATAATTTTGTACTACAGTATTCTTCATTTTGAGTTTTGCTTCTCTTGAAGTTGCCTAAGCCCTCTTGAGGTTTTTTTTTTTTTTTTAATCATAAGGACTACTGAAATTCACCTTTTCTTCTTTAAAACACTTTCTAGAATACACCTTTATTTGCCAAAACATACAAATTTAATGATTTCTACATACCTATTTTCCTGCTTTATCAGAAATGTCAGTCTCCTTTAGTGGAACCATACATATTAGTGGTGTTTATCAGATTTGCTCTTTGAAAAATTTCCCAAATGTAGACTATATTCAACTGTTCAAAAGTGTAATAGCTGCTCAATAAAGACTTAAAAAGAACCACCCATTTGCAACCTGAAACCGTCTTCTACTTAATAAAGAATCATCTTGTCTCCCCCAGTTTGCTGACTAGCACACTGGCTGCCAGCACCTGCTTGGATTAGTTAAAACAGTCATCCTCATTGGAACAGTTGGTAAGGAGCAGGTCTGTTCCACATTGGAAAAGCAAAGGGGTGTAGTAGTTTTGACTTTGAGAAACACATCTAAGCAAGGTTCATGACAAACTAGCTTTCTTTTCTTGAGGAAATTTTTTGGAGTTGAGGCAGTAGTGGCAAGTGATTTTCTAGAATGCAGATGCCCGTGTGGGGATTGAAAACCGCCACAAAACTTCTGGTTTGTTGCGATCAAATCTTCCTGCCTGGCAGCCCAGACCTTGCTGATGGCATTTTGTGTGGTTTCGATACTGTTACAACCAGACAGATCAGAGGAGAGAGCCATTTTTTGCTCAAAAATCACTGAGGCTGTGCTTGCCTGTTTTATTTCTGGTTGCTTTGTTCATTGAGGATTGCCTTTCAGAACTTACTGGAGTGACCTGTCCTGTGGCTACCTAGAAACCAGGGCATTCACCCTCAGCATGGAAGAAAGGCACAAGCTTGCTGAGTATCATTTGGGCCAAATATTCTCTTGACCTTTTACTCTTGGAGCAAGCCCGCCTGGACCGAGTTTTTCCTGTACTTTCTGTATAAACCATGAGAAAGCAGATTGCCCCAAAGTGTTTCTGCTCGGCTTTGCATCTTCCCCACCTCTTCTCATCTTCCTCCTGGGTTGTGACACTGGCCTGAGCCACTAACGCCTCAACAACAAGTCGGGGTGCAACTTAATCCTAAGGAACAACAATGGTATATTTTACTGGGTGGATCAAACTGTCCAGTTTTGAGCTATTGCCATATTCCTCAGTGCGGTATACAGAGTCACGGCCCGTTTTGAGATGTAGGAATTGGAACATGGAAGGCGGGAGTTAGGCACGTGTTTCTAACTGATTTGCTTTGTTTTAAATGACCTAGGCATTACCATCATGGCTTTATTTCGTTGCCATTACCAGTTAAACATGGATCCATCTCCTACAGGACTGAACGTATTTCATCTCACCGGAGCTCCTAGGTCCCTGCAAGCAAGGTCCTGGTTCTAAAATGTAAGTCTCGAAAATTGGAAAGTACCTAGGGAAAATTGGAAAGGTTCTTTTTGAATTCTCAGTGACTCAAATTTGTTGATCGCTGTTGATTTTCTCTTCCTGTTTTTTCCCAAGAATGCAGAACCCAGAGGTTTCTCTATTCCAAAAGCCTGTGGATAAAATAAGGCAACTAGCCCATGTTTCCTAAGCACTGGAGGCAGGGCTGCCAGGGTGCCTGCCTTCTGTAGCCTGTTCCAGCCAGCATTCTATGCAGGGCTCTATGAACACACGTGGCCGATCCCTTTGAGATGGGCTGCTTCTGATGGGATGTTGATAAGGCCCTTGGTACTCTCAGTCTGAGTCCAGATCACTGAGGAAGGTATTACCCCAGTTCTGGAAAAAGGAAACCTAGGAATGTTACATCGAAGCGGCAGAAATTGAAAGATAAAATCTTTAAAGAAGCCAAAGGAAAAAATATCTTACTAGTAGAAGAGCAAAGGTGAGAATCACATCTGACTTTCTTCCAAAGGCTTGTTTGAAAAAACAAATGTCTGAAACTCTATACAAAGAGGTCAGGCTATGGTGGTGCTGAAAGGGTCAAGTGTTGTTCCTGAACCCTGACAGCAATTCACAGTTAAAGATTTTCTGGTGCATTTTAACAGTTGGTTTCACTCTTTAAGTATGTTGGATGGTTGAAGTTCAAGGAACAATGGTTGAAATGTAGTCCAAATAATAATTGTCAAGTTTACATAACAGGAAGAAAGGACCAGCTGAAATCCATCTGTGAAGTGCAATTGAAAATCTTCAAAATGAATAGGAAGAGGAGAAGGGGAAGGTGGGGGAGGAGAGAGAAAGAGAGGTATATTACCAAATATGGGAAGATTTAAGACAACTTTGACATTCTGCCAGACAGCACCTCATACATTCGGTAAATCCCAGTCTGACCCTCAGATCTGCAGTCTGGCCTTCAGCTACACAGTCGAGACAACTGAACTGCTTCTCACAGCTGGAAGGGCCAGGGAAGGGAGCAGAGTTGTGCCATGGTATCCGTTTAGTCTGTAGACAACCTCTAAGAAAGATTTTGGTAGATGAGTTACGAAACATACGGGATAACTGCTTTATCAAGACATATTTCAGATACCAATGTGTTGTGGCCTCTTTTCAGTGAGCAGTCTTCATCACATGTACAGTAACAATGACCACACGAGTAAGCAAAGAATGAACAATTAACCCAAGAGGCTTGGGACTGTATAGATGTGGGTTTGATTGCCTGCTGTTCAACCTGCTGAGTGGCTATGTACATTGAGTGAGATCGCTTCCTGGCATCTCAGTTTCTTCATTTGTTTGATGGCATGATTAATAACTTGCTTAACAGCCTTATTGAAAAAATTTAATGGCATGGAAATATATTAGTGTAGAGAGAAGCACTGGTTCCTGTAAATATTTCTTTTGGGGAATAGCTTCATTGTGATCCAACTATGGAAGCATAAAATTCACCCTCTTAAAAGATTTCATTCATTGGCTTTCAATGCTTAGCATTTAAACCTTGCACATCCATCACTGTCATAACTTTAGGACCTGTTATCACTCCCACAAAGAAATCCATACCTGTTCCACGTCATTCCTCATTCTCCCACCGCTTGACTTTGGTAAGCACGAATCAGCTTTCTGTCCCCCAAGCTTTGCTTGCTGAGTCCGGACATTGCATACGAGTGGAATAGTAGCATGGATGCTCTTTTGTGACTGGTGTTACAGCTTGTTATTGGCTGAATTTTACGTGAAAAGCAGTAAGTAGAAATCCGAAGGACTCTATTAGACTACTCGTTGGTTGAATTGAAAAGGATGCACATGAGGTTTGGAAAAGAAATAGTTAAATACCATGCTCTTTTTCATCAGCTATTAAGCAAATAAATCATGCAGTTAGAGCACATTAATGCATCACAGTCTTTCCTTGTTCATTTATTTTCTCTGGATCCAGTCCTCAGCATTTGGCTCCAACATCGGAGACTCCTTCCAGCCCGGGGAATGTCCTTGACTCCAGCCAGGGCCTGACAGCATTTATTCCAATAGCAAAGCCCGTGGTTGTGGTGAACAGGCTCCCTCGGCGAGGTGGTGCAGCACAACAAAAGAGCACTTAGTAGGGATGCAGGAGACCCGCCCTCAGCCTTTACTCTGCTATTAACATCAGGCGTTGGGACCACCCAAGGAGAGCAGGAACCTGAAAATGCTTTCCAATGTTCACACATTAGGACTCTTGGGTCAAATGGGACAGAAGCACGGTTGCCATGGGGTTGCAATGGGAAGCAGATGGTGATGAACCAAGGAGAGTTTAGTAAGCAGATTATTTTTTTAAAGGTAGGAAGGAACAGACATAGGGCCTATAAGTTAAAGTGCTGGTTAAAGACATGTGACATATATAGGGTTACCTGGGCCTGATGTCCACACCCTCTTCAGGACTCTAGCTTCCTGTTAAGGTGGCCCCTTGGGTGGCAGAGGAGGTAACTCGTGTGGCTGTGTTCCCATCTCCCACATGGGACTGGAAGGTTAATGTCTCAGCTCATAGCTCTGGCCTGGGCCAGCCGGGTTGTGTTGTTTCAGACATTGGCAAGTG